ACATTGCTGAATAAGTATCTTATAAAAACACCAGCTGATCAACATTTATAGATAAAGATATACATGTAGTTTAATTTTACAGAAACATCTAATTTTTTTTTACAGATAATTTGTCATGGTTGTGTCTAGACTGGAATTAAGCATTTATTTCTAAATGCTCTTATTTATTTCTGAACTATGGGTTAGGGATGCAACTTCTTTTTTAGCATTTTTAAATAAAAACATAAAATAAATAATACATTTTCATAATAGAGAAAGTGGAATAAGGGTCTTTCCAATTTATTAAACTCATGAACAAAGGGAGTTAACTCTAAAATTATTTCTTTCTTTATTTCTGATATAATTCATTCTCTTCTAATGTAAATAAATAACAAAGATAATGTTACAAACACCTGTAAGATATCTCAACTTTATTATCTGTGGTCAACAAGTTCATGTAAATAAAATATGCATCGCACCTGTGGGACATGTGGTCAATGACAGGTAAAAAATGTATTGACATCACACCTGAATGAGTAATTTATCTATGGTCATTGACAGCATGTCCAGGTAATATCATTACAACTGTCATTAACTTGTTATCTCCACATAAGGTATGCATTAATGAATATTCAAATATGTGTTAATGAATATCAAAAATATTTACCGTGACAAAATATTCAGCAAAAGATGACCTCAATATACTGTAAACTCAGAAATTATTGCAAGTTTTTGTTATTGCGAATAATGTGACTGAGTGAGTATAGCAATAATAAGAACTCGCATTCTGAAATCTGACACATAAAATTGTTTGCGGCTGTTCCTGTAATCGCCATATTTTTTCTCACAATTTGGTCTGTCATGTCGAAATCACAATAATAAATGTATACAGTAAGATTTACAGTAAGATATCTGCAAGGAATATTCAAAATATTTACAGCAACTAATGATCCCTGTCTCTTCTCTGTGGTGACAAAATGTTCAACAAAATAGAAGCTAAATATATGAGAAGCAACTCATGGAACAGTCACAAATGGCGGATTCAGGTGGGGGCGTGGCTGGGGTGCGCCCCCTAACATCTGCAAAGCATGGGTTGTCCTCAGCTTAATAAAAAATATTTCGATAATTTTACCTAAAAAAAATATAAGTTTGCGCCCCCCCCCCCCCTCCCCTAACCTAAAATCCTGGATCCACCCCTCACATCAATACTGGGACCAATAGATTACAAACAACCACCTAATATAAATATAAAGAGTTTGTGATGTCAATGAGAAGGCAATTGAAGGACACAAATAACCCAAAAGTATCTCAGCTCTTCAACAATCCAACGGTGCCCATACAATATCTATCAAGGTCTAAATCATTCAGAGTGGAAAAAAGTTACTATCAAAGATCTATGATCAACACTAAAATCTAAAAATACAAAAAGCATTAAGATTTGACAAAAGAGAACTAGGTACTGGTTTAAAACTAGTTTCTTTTCTTGGGACAAAATATTTTACAAAAGATAACCTAAATAACATTACAGGAAGTAGACAATCTATAGGGATAACAAAATACTAATCCCAATCTCTTTTCTGATGACAAAACAGCCATTAGATGAACAAAACAAACAAAACATTCTCTTATCTGGGTACAAAAACATTCATGAATAAGAAGCTAACTATATCCACAAAGAAAACACAAACTATCTTCTTATCTGACACAATCATTAAAAGGACAAAAATTTATCAAAAGAACTAATAATCTTTAAGAAAAACAGTCCAGGTCATGTGACCATTTTTAAAACATTGAACCACAAATTTGACATAACCTCTTCTAGACCAACAGCCTCTTGAAATGTCAATTTCAGTGCCTATTTACAAACAAACATTTCATTCTATCAATAAAACAATGAGATATTTTCGGTAAAAATATGAGTAAAAGGAGATGTGAATTGGATGTAGATGAGACAGAGACCCGAGACATGAAAAAAAGTCTATATGGCAGATTTGGTTTAAGTATGAATAATTATACCAGCTTAAGGTATTATGTTTAACTACATAAATTCAATTATAACTTCTCACAGAGACTAAAAAGACAAAAAGAGTTACTGGTAGTTGAGAGCTGTAATTAGACCTTCAGCATAACAGATAGTGTCATTTCATATAACATTTTCTTTGCAACGAGCTTTAAATAAATACATTTGATTGATTGGTGTTTGCTTTACACCACCTCAGCACAGAGCTTTAAATAAATACATTTGATTGATTGGTGTTTGCTTTACACCACCTCAGCACAAAAAGGGTATATCGCGACATATTGTTAAGATAGCTACCAATTGTTGACCTACAGATGCTATTTAGTTATTTTTAGCGTTCAGTTGCTGTCTAATTGACGTTATATTCTACATCTTCTTAGTCATATATCAAAAAAATAAAAGCACTAACACTTAGTCATATATCAAAAAAATAAAAGCACTAACAAATAAATTCATTGGAGTTTTATTTCTAATCTATTATATTTTACTAGCAATGAAGTTAGCAAGAAAAAAAAAGTGGCTGGTACCTTTTGGTGTGTCAAATTTTGGCACTGAGCTTCAATATATGTCATTTTGATTTAAGCATAAAAGAATTCTTTGTTCAATTCATTGTTGTTGACAAGTAAAGACAAACATCTATTTGATAATAAGAAGAAAGAATAATCTAAAAAAAAAAAGTCAGTTCATATTTAATTGCAATATTTTTTTGACCAGGAAATATTAATTAATATTTAGATTTTATTAATTTTGATATTATTACAATATTCTGTTAATCTAGTCATCTAGTACACGAGGCCATAAATTAAACTGTTACACTGTTAGATGATCTTATCTTCCTAATTATATAATTAGCACAATTGTTGGGTTTTTTCTTATCAAATGTTATACAGTATTATATTTTTAATAAGATTTATATAATATCAAAAAATATTCATCTCTTTGGGGGGGGGGTTATGGTATTTTCCTAAAAAAAAGTATTCTGGTCCCCAATTTGATGAAAACAAATATTGTGGTCAAGCAGATTCATTTTCAGAGTCAAAAAATAATTTGATTGATAAGTGTCGTAAAAACTAAAAAAAATGTTCGTGCTTTGCGTGAAAAAATGTTTCTGACTCAGACGAAAAACCATTCCCCCCTTGAAGTTAAAAGGTTACTCCCTTAGCTTTCAAGTCATTTGCTTTGAGTGTTTCTATAAGGTAAATCCAGAAAAGTACTTCAGACACCAAATCAGAACAACCTGATCAGCTGCAGTGATTTGATAGCATAAGTAAAGTCCAGTTTAAATTGCATTGAAGGTGCGTTTGAATATGATGATTTAAAGAGGTGTATGTATCATGTAGACCTTCTGGTATGTCAATATATTTTATGCATCAACAAGGAAATTAATCCAAACAATAAATCCTGGTAAAACTGCATCGAAAAGATAAGAGGTAAAACAGGTGATAATCATCTGTTTCAATACTGGGATAAAACAGCTGACAATGCCTGTTTTAATGGATCATCTATCACTTTATTCATTGTTCTGTATTTAATGCACAGGTCTTTATTTCACTTTACTCCTAAGTATTATCCAACCTATTGCATGCTGAATTATGTGCGTGCAAACTATCAAAAATACAAAGCTTTTAATTTTGTATGCCAGACGACAGACACGCTTTTTGTCTACATTAGACTTATCAGTAACACTTGAATCAAAATAGAGAAGATGGATGCTTAGGGACTTATCATTTTTTACCTGGGAGGGGGGCTGGTCATTTTGAAATCAAACATATAAAATTTGCTTGATCCCCCATAATGTTTCACTCTTTTTATTTTATCCCCCCGCTTAAAAACATTTAAAAAATGTGATCCCCCCTCTATTAAACATGCCAAAATTTCAACAAGCAAAATCCTCCTTTTCCACTTACAGAAAAAAAACTTGATCCCCCTACATTTTGACCAGCCCCCCCCCCCCCTCCCAGGTAAAAATGATAAGTCCCTTACCGCTAAGCAGCAAATAACACAAATGACGTTGAATTTATATGAATGTAAACTGCTTTAAGCTGGACTGTGCACACTCTTACTTTTTAAATACTGCTGCAAAAGAGAAGCGAAAGATACCAAAGGGATAATCAAACTGACATTAGTCAAAAACGAACTGACAACGCCGTGGCAAAAATCGAAAAACGACGCGTAAACATAACACAACATATTGCAAGGTGGATAATATACTGTGGATTCACTTATTTTCGTTGGTATCAATTTTCTTGGATTACGGAACAATTATATTTTCATGTATATTTAATTTCATGGTTTTGCCAAAGTCTGCATACAAGCCTATAGCAAATTTGTATTTCGTTAAACATTTTAATTTGTGGTTCCCCTTTACCCACGAAATCCACGAAAATTGGTACCCAACGAATAATAATGAATCCCCAGTATATCACTAAAAGAAACATATGACCATTGATGTCTTTTGACAAACATTCAGTATTTTTATCATAATTTCATGCCTATCCAACTTTTTCTTTAAAAATCTGCAGGTAAGTTTCTATTTAGTTCTGATTCCAAAAGAGAAATTTATTTTTATCGTAAATTCAAGTTTTTCAAAAATTGAATTTAATTAAGTTTCAATTTCTTTCTCAGAAAAAATTTCACTCCCCTTAAACTAAAAATAATTTAATTTACGTTTCTAAAAATGATTGGACACTTCTACCTCAGATAACAATTTATTTGAATTATCTAAATCCAGATTTATTTTAGTTTTATAGCACTTCATTTAATCTTTTACTCAATTTTTATTTCAGTTTTACAGCAGTATAGATCATAATCATGGCAGATAGACACAAAAAAAATGACATCTGTCTACAGAGGTTTCATTTTCTATATGAATACTCTCATAAACTTTCATGCCTGTATACAATACCCCCATAAACTTTCAAACTTTACAACCAATATTTTTTCAATTTAAAAACTTGAACATCATTCCATACAATTACGTATAAATCATTAACAAACCTACCTTGTCTAGTTCCGTGTTCCCAAAATGTCTATAAATAAAACATCGTCAACAAATTGACTAATAAAATTTTCCAGTGAATTGAATGTTTAACTCAAGCTTGAGTAAATAGGAAATTGTGCAAGTCCATATCTTAACAACTTTTTCCAATTTTTTTATGTATTTAATAAATTCATTAAAGTTTATATCTACAAGGTAAATAATATAATCCAGGTAAAAATCAGCTGTTTATGATAGGTACAAATACAGGTAGACAATAGAATATCCCTCTGGCAGGTTGTATTGAACCATAACAATAAATACACCAATATATCTGTACTCAAGATACAATCTTAGGTCAACAGTGATCCCTTTTCTTTTCGACTTATCATGTAACCATACCATCTTATACTTTACAATATAAAGTCAATTCTCGACTCCATGTCTAACATACTTCAAATGTGAAAAAAGAAAAAATTCTAACTGAGGTATATGATATTGTTAGAAGTAAACTGACTCTTATTTTTGTGAGTCTGTTATAATGAGAACATGAACACCGAAAGAACAACAATCCCACAATATAAGTGTCCAAAATCTAGAGTAGATACCTTCGCTGTGGAGATTCCTTTGAAATCCCTATATTTATTTCTTTTGATATATTAATTTTTACCTTCTTTTGAGCCCCTTCTCTATATCTTGCTCCCATGTTTTTCTTTTTTAACTTAACTTTACTTAAACCATAGATGTATGCTTAAACCTTTCAAACCAGCTCCCTCCCATATATTTGGCCCTTATTTTTTATTCTACCTATTTGCCATAACATTTCAGATGCATACCCTTAACTGGTGCCCTCCACTATATCTGGCCCTCATCTTTTATTACACCTGTTCACCTGAACTTCACCATAACATTTCAGATGCTTACCCTTAACTGGTGCCCTACCCTATATCTGGCCCCCTATCTTTTATTATACCAGTTCACCTTTACATTTCAGCTGCATACATTTAAATGGTGCCCTCCCCAATATTGGGCCCCTTTTTTTTTGTATTGTACCCCAGTTGAATTTCAAAATTTCAGGTGCGTACTATAAGTGCATAAAATTTACATTCACACAAATAATTATTCCAGCTGTCAAACCATCTCAATACCTGATATCCTCAGATAAACACAATCTACCCCACATTTTATTCTTTTTTTCTAGTCACTAAAGATGTATATTTGTGTTCTAAACAGAAACCTGAAAACATTTATTTTCTCACCAATAAAGGCTTACCAAATTTGTCACACATCTTTACTCTACATAATTACAACTATAGATGTATAGAATTTGTACAATAAAAGATTTGTTATTAAATATGTCAAACTACTGTGTGAAGAAAAGATACTGGTATAGCAAAACTGAAAAAGAGGTACATCTTTGGGGAAATGGTTATATGATTAATGCTGAAATGACCCCTCATTTACTAAACTACTGAAGATTTATTTGTTTCCATGGTAACCATGATTTTGGGGTTTCATGAATAGTTGGTAAGAAAAGTTTTTGTATCCTATTTAGGATCTTTTTCCTCTGTTGCACCTCTTAAGAATAAGTTGAATTTCAAAAAAATACATGCATAATTGCTTACAACCACTTCATTTGAACTCTGGTGGATAGTTGCCTCAGTGGCAATCATACCACATCTCCTTATTTTTATTTATCTTTTTTAAGTCCTGTAAATTGTTAAACTTCATGTTTTTTGCTCAGGATTGCTAAATCATTTTCATGGGACAAGCCAAGATTTTCATTGTTATCATGGGACAAGCCAAGATTTTCATTGTTATCATGGGACAAACCAAGATTTTCATTGTTTTCATGGGACTAGCCAAGATTTTCATTGTTTTCATAGGACAAGCCAATATTTTCATTGTTTTCATAGGACAAGCCAAGATTTTCATTGTTTTCATGGGACAAGCCAAGATTTTCATTGTTATCATGGGACAAGCCAAGATTTTCATTGTTTTCATGGGACAAGCCAAGATTTTCATTGTTATCATGTGACAAACCAAGATTTTCATTGTTTTCATGGGACAAGCCAAGATTTTCATTGTTTTCATAGGACAAGCCAAGATTTTCATTGTTATCATGGGACAAGCCAAGATTTTCATTGTTATCATGGGACTAGCAAAGATTTTCGTTGTTTTCAAGGGACAAAACAAGATCTTGACATTCCTAACATGCTGAGAAGGTTTAACTCTCCAAAAATGGTGTATTTGGTTTAAGGTCTTAATTCCTTCAATGAACATCTTGGCTTGTCATATGAAAACAATGAAAATCTTGGCTTGTCTAATGAATTCAATGAAAATCTTGGCTTTTAACATGAAAAAGTCACAAATCACTGATAATTCAATTTGAGAAAAACCATTGGTCAAACTAAGTTGCAGTAAATCAAAGTTTAGTATAAGTTAGTTCCAGTCTAAGAAAAATACCATTTGGAAATTTGAGAAATACCAAGTAACACAAAGTTTCAAAATTAAGTTTTATCTAAATAAAGTTAATAAAATACAAGATCAAATAAAATAACAAATACTGAAGTCAATTTGATGCACCACATAAAAATATAAAATAAGGAGATGTGGTATGATTGTAAATGAGACAACTATCCAACAGAGTCCAAAATGACCTGAATCAACTGTTAGCACCTATGAAAAAACCCATATCACATAGCATGCACATTTCAAACAGATTGAATGATTATTATTGTGTAATGCCACTTTCATCACTTTTTGCTTAATCATTACGGCCAGTTTTTATTAGTGGAGGAAGTCCGAGTTCCCGAAGAGAACCACAAATCTTCAACTACAAATCAAACTGACAATCCTACTAAATAAATAAATATACCAACAACCTAACAAAATTTGAAAATACTATCTGTAAATCTCAGTCATGAGAAAAATTACTATAAATTCAAAAATTTTGCAAAGTTTAGTGAATAATGTGACTGGACGAGTAATGCAGTAATAAGAACTTGCATTCAGATATCTGATACATACACCTCTATGCAGATTTTCCTGAAATCGCAATAATTAATCTCTCATTTTTGTCCATTCTTAAAAACTCGCAATAATAAATGCACACAATAATTTCTGAATTTACAGTAACCACACCAATAGTCAACATTATGTATTGGATTTAAAGACCAAACAGCCTATTGTTTATGCGCATCAACTAACGCAACTTGGTAGTGACATAAAAGCTCTATGACGTTGTTTCTAGCAATGAGAAAACGTCAAATTATAACGTCCTATTTCGCGTTTTTCATGGATTCCAACATGGTGTACGCTTTGAAAAAAATACGTCTTCCAAGAAAAGAGGAATTAATTGTCGCGCTGATATCTAGTGGAAATTAAACACAAATGGACACAAATGAAACTACACTATATTTAACCTTCGTTCTAATAAAAATGATAAAATATAAATTTTGAACTCGACTTTTTGCATTTACCCCGATCTGCATTTCATTTTTATTTTCTTTCACTTGCGTAGATTTTGTCTTTCATTCGCGCCGATTGTGTACAGGTAAATTATAGGTGAAAGTTATTGTTATGCCCCATTTATTATGCCCCATTTATGGGCATTATGTTTTCTGGTCTGTGCGTCCGTTCGTTCGTCCGTCTGTTCGTCCGTTCGTTCGTCCGTCTGTTCGTCCGTCTGTCCCGCTTCAGGTTAAAGTTTTTGGTTAAAGTGTTTGGTTAAGGTAGTTTTTGATGAAGTTGAAGTCCTATCAACTTGAAACTTAGTACACATGCTTCTTATGATATGATCCTTCTAATTTAATGCCAAATTAGAGTTTTGACCACAATTTCACGGTCCACTGAACATAGAAAGTGATAGTGCGATTGGGGCATCCGTATACTATGGACACATTCTTGTTTAATTTATCATGTAAACCTCTTTTGTTAGCCAGTTGTACATATGTTATGAATTATTTTAAAGCACTCCAATAAGATCACTAAAAACGTAAAACAATGAATTATTATCTGTTCTTGCCGAGAATTTGTATGCCACACATCTGTTTCTTGTCATTTCATCTGTTCTATACTTGTTGTACTTGCCAACAACGAAGTCCATCTTTTTCTTGCTTTTTTTTCAACTTTCTCGTGTCAAAACGAAGTTCACGAACAATATGACCAAAATTATCTTAAAACATAAGGAAACACTGTTTATTTCCATATATTACCAGTATAAATTCTAGGTTTTCTACATGTACAGTGTACATATATTTACTCGTAAATTAAATATAGTATCGGGCTAGTGATAAAAAAATATAATAGGCGCTATTGAAGGAATCAAATCAGCGCAAATGAAAGATCGATTTTTTTTTTATTGCGAACCCAATGAAAGTTTTCCACAGTGCCATCTCTATCTTGACCAGGTATTTAAACTTTTGCAAGTTCACCTGTCCTATTGAATAGATACAATAGCTATTGTTCTCTGTGTAGTTTATTCTCTGGGACCTTTAAATTTCTTCTAAGAGAAATCTATCATTCATTGATTAAATTACCTGAGTAAAAAAATTTCTTATATATAGACAAAAATACTGTTTTTATACTCATTAACTGCGTGTGATGATGTAGTTTTTCAATATTAATAATATATATTTTCATTCAGTTTAATATAAACATTGATTCAATCATAAAAATTTGATTTCTGACAAAACTTTCAACATTGTTCCTTTTAAAAAAAAATTTGTTTGACATAAATAAGAACTTGAAAATAATGATGTTTCAAATTAAGATCTTCTTAAATGTATTCTATAACTAAACAAAAAAAAATCAAATTTCAATAGGAACATTGATAAAACTTTTGTTAGAAATCAACTTTTTATGATTGAATCAATGTTTATATTAAACTGAATGAAAATATATTATTAATATTGAATAAATACATCAGCACACGCAATTAATGAGTATAAAAAAAGTATTTTTGTCTATATATAAGAATTTTTTTTTACACAGGTAATTTAATCAATGAATGATAGATTTCTCTTAGAAGAAATTTAAAGGTCCCAGTGAATAAACTACACAGAGAAAAATTGCTATTGTATTCATTCAATAGGACAGGTGAACTTGCAAAAGTTTAAATACCTGGTCAAGATAGAGATGGCACTGTGGAAAACTTTCATTGGGTTCGCAATAAATCGGATTAAATCTCGTACGCCTGTGTAACTTTACACTGGTAAATTTTAATGTCTTACGCTTATAATTTGAACTTATGTGATTTTCAAATTGAGTATTCAGAAGGTTAGGCCGATAAACAATAATTTCTAGAAGTTTTGACATACTGGCAACGTATGCATGTAACTTATTGCTTGACGATTCTCGTAAAATAATGTCCGATCTCGCAATGAAGTTAAAATTTATTTATACTGCTAAATTGACAAAATCTTATGACAAAGGTTCATTGTCGTTTGTCATTTGTTTCATTTCAAAAAAGTAGAAATGATAAAGATTTCGCCTGATCTCACTGAAGCTTACAGCTAATTTACTAATGCATGTAGAGCAACACTTTGGTTAGCTTGCTTGCCTTGTTTATATATTTTTTATAATTATATTGGGATAACGTCCAATTGAATTTAAATATCATATATACAGTTTTACATACCTATATATGAAGATGTCACTCTTAATTACAAAACTTGAATAAACATTTATACAAACAAAGCAAGGAAGCCAACCAAAGCTTTACTCTACAAGCATTATGAAATAAGCTGTAAGGCAAAACATATTATTAAAATTAATACTCAGCAAATGTGAATTAAAATAAAAAAATTCGGTGTTTAAAACTAAATTGTTGTAAATTTAACTAATGACAAAAACAATTGCTCCAAGAATAATATCCAACATAAAATTTCTCACTTTCTTTAAGCTACAATGACCTGAAAGATTAAAAACAAATTTCGATTTTTCAATGCCGGCAACAACCTTGTCTTTGTTTTAATTCCCAAAATAAGCAATTTAGATTCATAATATTTTATCCTGTTTTGAGAAATCTTACATTGTAGTTTTTAACAGAAAATTATTTCTAAATTAATTTTTGAATTAAAAACTTTTTGTATTTTATATTTACTGTCTCGTTTATTCAAAACACGTGAGGTAGTAATAACAGGGATTGTATTTTATGATAGGCTAAATGGATGTATAACGTTTTAGAATCAAAAACTTTAATTCATATATTATACCTATAATTTTAATTTCCTCAGTATATCTTAAATATTCAGAAATAATGAATTCACAAACTAGATGGAATAATTTCTATACGTTCGTCTTAGTCGGGAAAAATAATGGTATTAAGAAGTCCGTCGATGCTTATGTTTGTCCGTCTGTCAACAGTAGCGAATGAGTGCGTTAGAGCAAACTTCTCAAATAGTCTGTAAGTTAGCCAGTGCAATAATTTTGCTAATGAGGGGCTGAGGACAAAAACAGACTTTCCTAACAAAAGCGGCGTAAAAAGTTATTTCAAACAGTTTTTCATTCCGAC